GTTGCCCTTGTCACCATATTTTTACGAAGAAAGAAAAAACACAGAGTAGGAAAGAAGACGATAGAGAAAGTTTGGGAAGAAATTAAAAGGAGAGAGAGAGAAGGGGGAAAAAAAAGAACCACTAATTAAATTTTATGGTGTATATTAATTAGTAGGAAAAATAATTATAGGAGTTTTAAATTTAAAAGATTATATTTAAGATTTGCCATGTGGCGAGTTTTGATTGGATTGTAGTGTCACTCAGCAATGTTTAGTGGTAAGTAAAGCCCCACACAAGTTTTTCTCGTTCAAGTGGGAGGAGGAGATGTGTTTTTTTTTTCTTTCCTTTTTTAAGTGTTTAATTATACAAAAGATAAAATTTGTTTTTTAATTATTTAAATATTTATAATCCACGTGGCAATATTTAATTAGATTTGTGGAATCCAGTTATATGTCATGTCAACACATAACAGAATTAATTTTTAACGGAATGACTATATTGATTTGCAACACCAATTTTCAGGGACAACATTAATTGATTTTCAATTTTAGGGACCATCTTGAGGGGTCAATTTCAGGGACCATTTGCGATAAAAATCCTATTTTATTTAAACTACTTATAACTCTCTTTGTCAATTAAAAAAGGGTAAAGCGATAATTTGGTCTTTTATTACACAATAAATCATGAGTAGTAATGTAATTTCGCAAAAATTAAATTTTTTTGTTTTGTTTTTTTCGATTCTTCACCTACATGTGGCAGAAAACAATTATGCACATACATCGTGGTGTGTGTTTGAGCTCTACTAAAACCCCTTCTCCGTAACAACTAACAATTTAACCTATTAACTATCATTTGTAAAGAAAAATCTAAACTACATATTAATATAACCCTCTTTGTCAACCAAAAGAGGGTAAAAAGACTAATTAGTCTTCTATCACAACTAAAAAGTTAAGGACAATAACGTAAATTAAAAAATAAATAAATTAAACTTCTCTCCCTCTCTCTCCACTCCCATGTTCTCTCTCACTCTTTTCTTTTCTCCTCCAATTTTAAGAACAAAAATACATTTCATAGACACTTTGTGTAGCCATATACTAGTGTCAATGATACAATGATTTAGTATATGTCATTATATCGTTAATGTTGAAATGTCTCACATCGACCGTATCAATGAGATGTTTCACATCGACCGTATCAATGAGATGTCTCACATCGACCGTATCAATGAGATGTCCCACATCGACCGTATCAATGAGAAAATAAAAGTTTAAATATCTTAACCCCACTCTAACTAACATCGAGGTATTTTGTGATAAAATCTCACACCTGATGGATTGTGCATGTGGTAATTACCAAGTTGAGGACATTATCGGTGTTGTTGAAAGTGGACCTTTAACCTGTCTCTTTGATAATTCTACATGGTATCAGAGCTAGAGAGCGAGCCCATACTGTACTACCACATGATGGGTGGGTCCCCTTGGCACCACGCGATGATGGTGGGTTCTTTGACTCTATGTGTAGGGTGAGTCCCCTTGACTTCACGTGATTGTCGATGTGTGAATCTCCCATGTGTGACCTACTAATTGGGTCTCACGTGAAGGGGTGTGTTGAAATATCTTACATTGACCGTATCAATGAGATGTACCACATTGAATGTATCAGTGAGAAAAGAAGAGTTTAAATATCATAACCTCACTCCAACTAACATATTTGTGATAAAACCCTACACCTGACAGATTATACAGGTGGTAATTACTAAGTTGGAAACAGTATCAGTATTGTTAAAAGTGGACATTTGATCTCTCTCTAGTGTGAATATCACACCCTTTTGCCTTTACCAAACTCCACGACCATTTAATAAAAAATGAGCAAAGTGCAGAGGCAAAGGCAAAGAGAATTGGAGAGGTCGGTGTCCTTGGCTATATGAAATAGTTGCATGCCGTGCATATGTATGTTGCTTTGTGTCACTGTCGATGTCTTTATATGCATGTAGGGGTTGAGTACGTGTCAACAGTAAAAGACATTGGCTCTTCAGTGTTTTTTAATAATAAATTATTGATAAAAATGAGAAAAATTCGAAATTATTACAATAATTTAGAAGAATGAGAGTTTTGAATCCAAAACGTATGTGTCAAAACTCAATACCTTATTCACTAGGATATTAGATTATAAGCAAATGACCCATTTGTTAATCGTTAATGTCGGATATATATTTGTCTACAATATTTTTTTGTTTTTTTGTTCAGGAAAGTGTTTTTGTTACAACTACTCAAGCAAAACCAGATTCTTATTAAAAACCTAAAAGCATTTAAAGTACTTCTTGAATAATGGCAATTTATATGTTGCTAAAACAGCTAAAAATATTTTCAAAAAACCAAAAACGTTTTTACCAACATCTGTCATAAGAAGTTGTGAGTGCTTAGTTGCAACAGTGTTTCAAATTATTTTTTCTAAAAGCTTTTAGATTTTTAATAACTTTTTTATATATGCCTAATGAAAGCGCTTACATTTATAAGTGATGTTCTATGTTAGAAAGGAGTATTAGTATTTTTATGATATACTCAATTTAAGAAATGTTGATTAGGGTTTTTAGCACTTTTTAAAACAGTGCCAAAGGACACATGATTAGTCAAACCGCAGATGCAAATATGCCATGATTCCATGATTTTGGTATTTTAGAAGCTTCCAAAATATTGCATTGCGTGTGCAGAATTGACGATTAATGAATGAAAAAAAAAAAACAAAACAAGAAAAAACACAGTTAGACACGTAATTTCAAGTGAAAATCTTTCATTTTACTTTTTTTTTAAGAGGACAAGTTGGTAACTTCGTCAAATTAGTCCACTTTTTTGGGTACCCAATATACATAGGTCTTTCAACCTCTCATTGGACACCATTGTGTGATTCACAAGCACCATAAATCAAACCCAAGACGTTTTATGTTAAATATGAGCCTGAAATTCGTACACAGCCACTAGGCGACATCGAACGATTAATTTTTATTTCTCATTATTGTGGAATTTGTCATCACATTTTTGGGATCCGTGAGGTCTTGAATGGATGTGATCGATTCTGCCAATGAAATAGACCCATAACCCGTTCTAAATGCTTCTTCGAGCTTGTCCCCAACCGCTAGATCATCTCGTGGTTGTTAAATAGTTTATCTTTCTTGTAAAGCAATTTGTTTTTGTTCACATTATTCTTTTTTATTTGTCTTACTCATTGAGGATGCTATTTTTCTCTCATCATTTTTTTTTGCTTGGTCATTTTTCAACGATGAATAAATCCCTTCAAACGTGTGGTTTACGTTATTTAAGCTTTCATTTGAATTATGAACATCTAAGCTTAAGCCCTAGTGCTAGAGAAGACAACTGCACTGCCTATTTTGGTTCCACCAAAGCAATTAGCCATTACTAAATTTATTGTCTTTCCATTGCTTGGTGGCATTGCTAGTTGGCAGGACCATTTTTAGGTGTTTTAATGTATGTTGTGTTGATATGATTTTATTGTAAGTGAATAGAAATGTTTACGTCACTAGTTGTGACACAAAAGAGCTATTAAACTTAACCAAATTTCGACCATACAGACCTTTATATCGACATGGTAGGTAAAACCAACTCCTAATGATGAATGCCTCTTTATCAACATGAAAGTGACTACTAACAAATCTAACTCTCTCATAATGGCTTAGTACTTAGTACTACAGTCTAGTAGTATTCATCTTTACTTGTAAGTGAGAGGTCTTAGGTAATCACATTATTGATAGCCCGTATTAAGACTATAAATCCACCCCCTCCCATTTAGTATAGATAATATTGTTTGTTCAAAAAAAAAAAAATCTCCCATGATGGCCTAACTACATACACTAAACATAAATATTAAGATCACTATCATGATACCATCCCCCTACTTACAAGTTAATATCTTGATAAAGTTAAAGTCTGGTAAAGCATAGAAATATCTTGAATAATAATCTTACACATTGACAATCCTATATAGCTTTCAAACACTTGATCCTTTTACACATTATCTTTACAAATTTTATTTCATCGTTTGAGCGCAACCTAACGTATTGCAAACCTAAACCTGCATATTTATGGAGCTTTGTTTGTGAACCAAAAATCAATAAAATTATTACTATACCTTCTTTATATTTAATTGAAAGAAAATTAACAAGATAAATCTGAACGTTAAAATAATTTCACATAAACAAGTTTTGGTTTTCGCTTTCCTTTTCTCACCTACACGTAACTATAATTTTATTCCTCTCCTTTCTCTCTCCCACCTCCTACTTTTCCTTTTTTAAATTCTTAATTTAAATTCTTTTTTTTTAATTGTCATAAATTTAAACACACATACACGTGACTTTTATCAGTTTTATTTAATATAACTTTTTTTTAGAGATAAAGAAACGATGAACATACATACCATGTCAAACGTAACTAAGAAATGCCATTACAATTTCATACCTACTAGCCTCTCCACATGCACTAATGTGCGTGCGATAGGCGTTTTTGCATCACGATGCACCCCTAAAAGTGTATTGTGTTAGTTTTTTTTATTGTAATTATTAAAATATATTTTAAATGTATTGTATGAAGAGAAACTTTTTCTTTACCATGCACGTTCTAAAAAGTTATGTTTTTTGTTTTCACTTTACGTAAAGTAATGATTTAAGTAGACAGAAATATATGAAGCTTTCAACTAATTTTTGTTCTCTTTTTCTACACAGTAATATGTGTCATTTTGCAATGATTATGGCTACGTGTTGATTAGTTTGCTCTCCATTGTACAAGGTAAAATATTTTTCTATGAGCTTTGTCAAGCAACGGATGGGGAAAAAGATCCTCATTGTTTACTGCCAACATTTTCTATTGCACCAATGAGATATGTTTCCTGTCGAGTTAGCTTAATGTGAATGCCTCTAATTTATATATGAACATTATGTAATTGTCAAATGTTTAAAAGTCAAGTTTGTATGCTAACATGATTAGGTTACTTTTTCACATTGAATTGGGGTGTTCAACATTAGAAGTTCTTTTCTCAAGTCTCAACATTTAGCAAAACGAAGAAAACAAAAGGCCAAAAGCAAAAAGCCACATATTCCGCTGTTATCACCTTCCATTTTCTTCAAGGCTCACTGCCAACAGAAAATCTATGGCAAAAATACAACTTTCCCCGCTTCCTTTTTCTTCGAGCCTGGACAAATGGGTCTGCAAACAATGAGTGTGTAAAAGCATCAAAAGTTTTGTGTGTTTTCAAAAACTCAAATTTACGAAAATTGAAAGAGAACGAAAAATTAAAACATAAATTACTAAAAGAAAAACATAAATGAAAGAAAACTGATAACCATTGGAGTTGAGGATTCTAAAAATGAAAGAAATGAACCTAGAGATGCATATGAACTTGCAACTGGAACTTAACGCATGTATAAAAGAGCACAAGTTAATATTACAATTTTGAGTCACCAAAGAAACAAAGTGAAAGCAACAATTCATACACAACTGAAAAAAATTGTTTAAAAGGGGAAGAGAATGAAAATTTAAACATGAATTAGTAACCCAATGGAATTTTCGGTTTTTAGGGAAGAATTTGTTTTGAAAGATCGAATCCTCACAAACTTCTGTCACTGGCTCACCCTTTTCTTTTCATTACCAGGAATACACTTTCCCCACCTTCCCTTTTGTCGAAGGCCCAATGAATAGGTCTGCAACAAAAAATTGATGCATAAATCTTCAGAATACATTCCAAAGGATTTAGTTTATGTTTCTATCAATTATTTTGCTCAATTCCAAATGGTACTTAGCTTAATTATTGAACTAAGAAGGCACACATCACACCACTCCATTACAAAATTGGAAAAAGAAAAGTGAGAAATATTCAAGGAATCAATTCCAACTATCTTTGAATCACATCACACAACACAAAGCACATCACTCGATTCCAACTAAAATATTGAGCATTCAAGGAATCTGAACTCATACATGATTACTAACTTATTTTCCACTTAGCCAAATATGTGGTAAACTGCAAAAAAATATCCAAAAGTTAAAAGCTGTACTGAAAAGCTAAAACATGCAAGGAGGGCTTTTGAGATAGATGAAGAGAAGCTAAGGAAGACTTTTGAGATAGATATCGTCTCCACCTCTCTCAAGTTGTTGCCCTCCTTCTTGCCCAAAACCCTAGATCTGCAACCACCTTAGCCGTCGGTCCCTTATTACGGAGTGGAGTCGGTCCCTTGCTACGGCTTGGAGTCGACGACATCCCATCTCTCCCCCTTCTAGCTCTTCTCCCCTTCCTATCTTCCCCCAATCTTCACCCTCCCTGCCATTCCGTTTTTCCCACATCCTCGATTTCGTTTCTCCTCTCCACTTTTTTTCTTTCTTTTCTTTTCTCTTCCTTTCACAGGTCCCCCCCCCTCCGCGCCATTTTATGGGTTGCCATGGGCATGGCTATGGTGACTCCCACCTAGATTTCGTCCCTTGCCTTATCTTGAGGTCTTTTCCTTGAATTGAGGCTTGATTCGTGATTTCAGGTTGAATTTGTGGTTGTTGGTGGGTCAAATCCATCTTCATCTGCTTGATTTCATGGTGGTGACACTCTTGTGTGGCTGCTCTACCTTTAGTGCCCAGTTTTGTGGCAGCTCTGCTTCTTGCCTCGTGAAAGCTACGAATCTCACTTGTGTGGTGAAGTTGCAGATGGTCTTCCTTTGTATGTCCTCGTCCTCCACTAAGATTAGAGGACTGGTGGATTCTATTCTCGGATTAGTGTAGATTTTTGGGCCTCGTTTGGCCGGGTTTTGTGGTCTCGCCTTCTTGCGAGTCTTGGGTAAAATGGTGGTTGCAGATCTGTGTTGGTGTGCATATTTGCCAATTGTTGTCTCTCGGTTGTTTGGACATCCGAGGGCTCTGCCCTTAGAACTATCGTTTTGTCCTCTTTGGGTCCGTGGTGGTGGTGAGGATGGCGGTTCAATGACGTGGGTGGTATTGGCTTGGCAACCCCTTTACCACCTATGTCGTTACCGTTATTTCTTACCACTACTGCGACCAACTCCGGTTCTGACGACTATGGTGGCTCTGGTTGGAACCCTTTCCTCCCTACCTCTCTGAGTTCGTCCCGACCACAACTGGTGTTCGCACTCCTCCCGACATTTCTACACCTGCCTCTACCTATGCTCCTTACGCCTACTGCCAACTTGCAGTTGCATCTCCTTGTGGACACATCACCTTGTCCTTTTGTTTTTTAGTCTAGTTTATTATGACTGGTTAGTGTTGCTTCGGCAACTGGTTTGCGTCGGTTTTGCAATTTTGTAGCCTTGTTGTCTAGCGATGGTTTTGGTGAGGGTTTCGATTCTTGGTATGTCACGTCTTGTTTATGGGACATATCAATCTCGTGACTCCTCGTTGTAGAGGTGTGCTTTGTGTGATAGCTGTTTAGGGATTTCAATTATTTGTAATTTATGCTTATTAACTCCAGATCAAGAAATTGATCACTGGAGCATATGTACCCAACTAACATCTGTGTAAGTGGCTAATTATGGCAATGAAATTCTATCGTTTCTTTCAAAAAAAAAAAAGGAAGGCTTTTGAGACAGAATATGAAGACAACACGATAGGATAAAAAAAAATATCATGCACATTCATTGTCGTTCATCTCATGCTTTTGAAAGTTAACATGCCAACTAAACCTTTTGTTTATACCATATTTAGGGCCTCGTATTTAGACCTTGTATAAATACTCGAGGGACTTAAATGTAATTATGTAATAAAGGAATGGGCAAATATGTAATCAGGGGAGGAGCCCTTATTCTATAAAAGGGCCTTCTCATCCTCACAAACCCTAAGCCTCTCATATCTAGAGCAAAGCTCTCACACTCTCTCCCTCACTTCTCAGAGAAATACAATACAATCAGTGTAGACGTAGCTCAAACCTTGGGGTGAACCACAATAGATCTTGTGTTATTTACATTACTTACAGATTCACAGTCAGATTTACGTTGTACCAAGACCTCCGGTTTTGTGCACCAACATTTGGCGCCATCTGTGAGAATCGACACGAAAAGTTATGTCGGTTCTCTCTCAATTTTTCACCTTCGCCGTGAATATGCAAAATCACAAAAACCCAGAAAATTCTCCGAATTTCAAACCCAAAAAACCCAGCTTTTTTGCTTCATTCTTAAACCACCCAAAAATGGCGACAACAAAACCTGTTTCCAAAAAAAAAAACACAATTGTTTCTCAATTCTTTCCCTACTCAAAAATCTGTTCTCGAACTTCTTCTGTTTCGAATCCATACGACGCCGTTGAGATTTTTCCGGTGGAAATTCGTCCTAATAGATTGTTTGTTGATTTAGGCAGTGAATTCAAGGGGAGGAATTGTTCGTCGTCTTGGGCACCCGCACATCGTGAAGCTCAACGATGTTTTAGCGACTAAGACCAAGATCTACTTCATCATGGAGTTCGCCAAGGGTGGCGAGCTCTTCATGAAGATCTCCAAGGGGTGGTTCAGCGAGCATCTCAGCCGTCGGTACTTTAGCAGCTGTTATCTGCCGTCGAATACTACCACTTGCGGGGAGTGTACCACCGTGATTTGAAGCTCAGGAATCTGCCCCTCGATGAGAACGGGAACTTGAAATTCTCGGACTACGGGCTGAGCGCTGTGACGGAGTAGGTCCAGTCCGAAGGTCTCATCCAGACACTCTGCGGGACCCTTGGGTACGTGGCGCCGGAGATTCTCACGAAGAAGGGGTACGACGGCGCGAAGATCGACATCTGGTCGTGCGGCATCATTTTGTTCGTTCTGAATGCAGGATACCTACCTTTTAACAACCTAAATTTTTCTAAAGCTTCCTCAATGTTCTTTTCAAAGACTCGGTCTCGCCCTTTTCTCCTTCTTGGGTTTGCCGTGGAGTTTGAACGTGAAGTGCCCAGTAGTGATCTTCCCGCCGGCCAGCCTCCTACCTACACACAGAGAAACCTTCACTTCATTCTCCTCGAGGTCTTTCAGATTCGAGATTTGTGGAATTGGGAATTAGGGATTTGAATTTATAATGCGATGCTCTCCAGCTCTCATACTCTCCTTGTGTTTCTGCTCTGCGTTTTGAACGCGGAGGCACCGATCCACAAGTACGCCACTGAGAGATTCACCACCAAAGGAAATGCCTTCGTCATCCATGGTGGCAGCGAGGGAATCTTCCACCCCTTGACCACGCCTACGCCCACGTCAGCAGGCTGACCCACCGTCACCAGGCTGACCCACCTTGATAAAAGCTCACATCAGCAGCTCTCTGCTCTTCGAGTACAACTTCACCCCCACCACAACCGAACGGCCGCCGTAGCTTTCCACCTCTGCATGTCCTCTGCCACAGCCTTCTTGCACCATTTTCAAGCAGTACAATGTCCATTTGCCCAAACGAGGTCGCTTTGTTTTTCTCGTGTTGTGGAAGGTCTTGGTGTGAATTGGGGAACGATGGAAACCCATAAGTTGCCGCCGGAGATGGTGGTTCAGATGCTAAAGGACAGTGGGATTCAGAAGTTGAAGCTTTTCGATGCAGAGAAGTCGACCATGAGTGCCTTGGCTGGCAGTGGTCTTGAGGTCATGATTACTCAGACCAACACTGACGACCAGGAAAGCCATGGGGAAACAGAGAACTTGAGTGCCATTTGCACTCTGCAAAGTAAAAGCAAAAGCAAAAGCTAAATTAGAAAGATTATACTTTTGCTTTTGTCGACGGATGCATTTTCCTATTTTTTAAAATCCAGAGAAAAGCAGTGGGAACAGAAAAGCAAATAGAAAAAGGAAAAGACAGAGACAGAGAGAATGGATGGGCACGACCAAAGCAAGTGGGTTTGGCAAAAGATATCTTACAAATCAAGATGGATAGAGAAGGAACGGGGAGATCAAGAAAGCATCAGCAAAAGAGAAAGTAAAAGACACTACAAAAGCAAGGCATAAACACCCCACCAGAAAGATGTGATTTATTTTTTTTTACAGATGTATGATGTAATTTATTTTTCTTATCTCTCAGAGATATCTGTATAAACTCCATCAGAGGGTAATAATACCAAAAAAAAAAAGGCAAAGCTAAAAAAAAAAAGGGCTGGCATGTTGTGGAGGGCGAAGGCCCATAAGCCCAAAATAGCATCAACCAGGTCATCAAAAGTACGCCCAGTACTCCACAATTATTCGGCAACCCGTCGCTACTACCACCAACCAGGTGATCAAAAGTACGCCCAGTACTCCAAAATTATTCGGCAACCTGCCGCTATTACCACTAAACAGGTGATGAAATGTACAACCCGTACTCTCCTTCATGCCACCAACCAGGTGATCAAAAGTACGCCCAATACTTCATATTATACATGGGCATTGCTCATGTCAATCATACATAAACATTCATGAGCATCACTCATATCAATCATACATAAACATTCATGAGCATCACTCATATCAATATTCATGAGCATCACTCATGTCAACATCCATGAGCATCACTCATGTCAATCAAACATTCATGAGCATCACTCATGTCAATCAAACATTCATGAGCATCACTCATGTCAATCAGCTTCAAAAGCTTCATTTACAAAAGCTCTAGCTTCAAAAGCTTCATTTACAAAGCTACAGCTTCAAAAGCTTCATTTACAAAAGCTCTAGCTTCAAAAGCTTCATTTACAGAGCTCCAGCTTCAAAGTTTCACTTACAAAGCTTCAGTGCAGGGTATACAAATACCGCCTCCAAACAACCGCCACTTCGGCCCATACATGGATTTAATTTGAAGTCTCCAGCCAACAGACTCTATTGACCGAAGACTTAGGGGACTACATATTGGGCCTTAACTGGGCCTCGTGAAAAATATTTGGGGGACTTAGCCCATTACTTATGTATTGAGGAGCGAGCCCTTATTCTATAAAGGGGACTCCATCACTTTCATTAGAGAGCATCCATTGTTCATGTACTGAGGAGCGAGCCCTTATTTTATAAAAGGGACTCCCTCACCACCATTAGAGAGCATCGCCGCCTACTGAGCAACCGCCTCGCCGCGAGCATCAACTCTAGCCCATCATTTATGTATTGAGGAACAATCCCTTATTCTATATATTTGTACCATACTTGACCAATCTCGAAACTACTGAGCACCGGTCAACGTTATACCATCAAGGACCCAGAAGAGCTTCCCTTCAACCAGGAGGCCAATCACAATGCGACACGTGTCGACATCAGAAGTCAATCACAACTCGACACGTGTCAACATCAGAAGCCAATCACAACACGACACGTGTCAATGTTAGAACAAAACTAGAAACTCTCTTCTATAAATAGGGATCATTCTCCCACAATAATCTCTAATGTCATTTTGTACTAAACTATTCACTAGAACTCACAAAATGAGAGCTTGAACCTATGTATTTGTGTAAACCCTTCACAATTAATGAGAACTCCTCTACTCCGTGGACGTAGCCGATCTGGGTGAACCATGTACATCTTGTGTTTGCTTCCCTGTCCCTATTCATTTACGTACTTATCTTCACTAGTGATCGAAGCAACCAAGCGAAGGTCACAAACCTGACACTTTCTGTTGTACCAAAGTCCTCGCTGATTTTGTGCATCAACACTATAAAAGAGACTCCCTCACCATCATTAGAGAGCATCAACTCTAGCCCATCATTCATGTATTGAGGAGCGAGCCCTAATTCTATAAAAGGGACTCCCTCACCTTCAAACGCCGCAAGCTGAGCCAACCAAGGCAACATAAGCCACGAGCTGAGCAGCCTCGCAGCGTGTGCTACTTCTAGTTGAGCGTCATTTCAGATTGAGCACTGCCTCATATCGAGTATCAGTTCAAGACAGTATCTAGTTACTTCAGCCCACACATGGACTGAATTTTAAGTCTCCAGCCAAAAGACTCTCTTGACTGAAGACTTGAGGGACTACTGTTTATATCATATTTAGGGCCTCGTATTTAGACCTCGTATAAATACTCGGAGGACTTAAATGTAATTATGTAATAAAGGAAGGGGCAAATATGTAATTAGGGGAGGAGCCCTTATTCTATAAAAGGGCCTCCTCACCCTCACAAACCCTAAGCCTCTCCTATATAGAGCAAAGCTCTCACACTCTCTCCCTCACTTCTCAGAGAAATACAATACAATCAGTGTGGACGTAGCCCAAACCTTGGGGTGAACCACGATAGATCTTGTGTTATTTACATTACTTGCATATTTACGGTCGGATTTACGTTGTACTAAGACCTTCGGTTTTGTGCATCAACACCTTTCATATTACATTTTGCAAGTAATTTTAGCATAAATTGTAAAGGAAATGATGTCGATGGAATGAAGACTATTCTAATTAACTTCCAACCAAAACAGTGGGAGTGTAATTAAGTTGTTGAATGTGGTAAAAAACATCAGATAAATGTTTTGATAACTATTTGCATGTATAACATAGGTGGCCATTCATAAAATGCAAACACATTCGGAAAGTGCCAATGCTAAGGTTAGGGGAAATTTTGGAATGATTGGTTTGGTGGGTCCGGGACTGTTGTGCCAACCATCCCCGCTGCTAGTGCAAGTGAGATTAAAGTCAGTAAAAAGAAGGGGAGAAATGAGGTGCCAATTGAAATAATTGAGGTTAAGCAGGAGGAGTTGATGGAGAATTGGCCAAGAGAAAACCAGGCTAAGTTAACAGGAATAGCCTTTGGACATTCTTATTAGGTATTAACGCTATGTCCTTGTTTTTTTGGTGATCTTTTAGTTCTATCAATTGAAAGTGATTTATATCTTTTGACTTCTGCATTAACACCTTTTTTTTTTCATTTATAATGTTGAGAGCTCAAGGAATTGTGTTGCTAAATTTTAATGCATAGTGAAACTGTTTGCATTATGTTTTTATTACTATGCTATGAATTTGAAATAGATAAAGAGAAGTCAAGGAAGGCTTTTGAGATTGAAAATGAAGACGACATAGGAGGCTGTAGATAAAAAAATAAATAATATCATGTACAAATAGGACATATTCGTCCATCTCATGCTTCTGAAAGTTAACATGCCAACTAAACCTTTCATATTACATTTTGGAAGTAATTTTCAGCATAAATTGTAAAGGAAAGGATGTTGATGGAATGAAGACTCTTCTAATCAACTTCCAACCAAAACAGCGGGAGTGTAATTAAGTTGTTGAATGAGGTAGAAAACATTATATAAATGTTCTTATAACTATTTGCATGTATAACATAGGAATTTAGATCATAAAATGCAAACACATTCGCAAAGTGGCAATGCAAAGGTTAAGGGAAATTTTGGAAATAAGTTGGTGCCAATAGCAAAAAGCCACCTATTCTGCTGTTCTCACCTTTCCTTTTCTTCAAGGCTCATTGCTAATAGGACTTTTACGGCAAGAATAGACTTTCTCAACTTTCCTTTTCTTCCAGCCCCGACAAATTGATCAGCAAAGTCTGTACAACCATTAAAAACCATGAAATTTTTTGTTAGTAACATGAATTGATGTGTTTTAAAAAATTTAGTCGAATTTACGAAAGACAACGAAAAAAGAACTTGTGAATCACAAAAAAAAAGTAATCAATTTAGTCCTTGAAAATGAATCTTTTGTAAATAAATTTGGTCTTTCCACTATTTTTTTTTATTAGTGTGTTGAGATGCACATGAGTGAGTCTTACTGATCTAGTCACACAGCCTAAAAGTGGAAGGGGCTCAAAATTAATGTGAAAATTTAGAGGACAACAAGGCTTATAATTAGATACATTTTTCAATTTATCTCTGCTAATAATTTTTTTTATACAACGAATTGAGAATGAGAGATTTATGCTAAAGTACACAAAAATCAACTTCACCAATAAACCCTAATCTAACCATTTAGGCAAGTTGGCTCCGAAAACGTCTCAAAACCCCATTAACACGTCTTGGAGCTTCTGTGGGGCTCAAACCCCTAGGTTAACGCATCCATCCACTATAATATCAACCCACCACCAAAAGCTTCCACCTTTATACAGAAGGCTGTTACAAAAAGATTATCTTTTGGCAATCGAGCATTTTCAGAGAGATCAATGAAAGCCGTGTACGGTGGAGATGCTTTCCCCCCCAGCCGCTCCCGAAGCTGCATAAACGTCTGCCTGGCGGCGACATCTGTTGTGTTGGTCGCAACCATCGTACTCGTGATCCTCTGCCTGACGGTGTTCAAAGCCAAGGATCCCACCACGACGGTTAACTCCGTCGTCTTGAAAGACCTCGACTTGGCACTCAACATTCCACGTCTCAGCGTGGACGTGAACTTGACTCTGGGCGTGGACCTATCCGTGAATAACCCGAATAAAGTCGGGTTCAAGTACAAAAACAGCACTGCGTTTTTGAACTACAGAGGGACCAACGTGGGCGAGGCCCAAATCGGGTCGGGCGAGATATTCGCGGACAGGACCAAGTCCATGAACGTGACACTGACAATCATGGCGGATCGGCTGCTGGGGAAGTCGGAGCTCTTTTCGGACGTGGTGGCCGGAACGCTGCCGTTGAACACTTTGACCAAAGTCTCCGGGGAAGTCAGCGTTTTGGGGATTTTTAAGATTCATGTCGTTTCGACCTCCTCCTGCGACTTCAGAATCGATGTCGGTAACGTCACTGTCGGACAGCAACACTGCACGTACAAGATAAAACTATGATTTTTGTTTTTTGCTTGCTATCCCGGATTTTCTTATTTCTGGATTTTTATGGTCTGTCAGCTTGTGCGAGCTGAATTAACTGATTTGCCACTCTTGTAGTATATTTTGAATTATTTGCTACATGACATTTCCCAAAACATTTTATTGTATGAGTCTTGGATTTCTGCTGATTCTGATGGTGTTGCGATTAAATATTTTTCATTTCATTTCTTCGAGAGAAATGTTAAGATGAGTCGTGCTGGTGCAGGGACTAATCTTAGGCATTCGTATTTGTGGAACTATAAAGTGCGAGTGTGACTATTTACGCTTGTTGAATTTATGACAATAAGTATAAATTGTCAGAATTAACCTTATATGATGTACGACTCACCCTATCAATCGTTGTCATTCATTTAGAGCAATTCTACCTCTAAAGACTTTGCCCTAGCGCTCAGCACATTTATTCATTGAAGTAAAATAGTAATAGGCCCCAGTGAACAATAATAGGCCAAAACATCTCCACCTCTAAAAAAATGCGATGTCACCCAGTCTAAAAATACGCTGGCACAAACGATCTTCACCCCTACAAAATGCGCTGGCACCCAGCCCATTTTAAATATTTTAATTTTTTTTATAAAATAATAAATAAATAAAATAGTTTTAATTTCGGATAAGATTTTTAACCAATCTCGTAACCTTACGTGTCATTATCCGAACGTACTATTTTGTGAATAGATTTCCGCTAAGATTTGCAACCAATCCCGATGCGCCATATGTTACTATTTGTTTACAATAATTTAGCCAAGATTACAATAAGATTTTCAATCAATCTTATTACGCCACGTGTCATTATCCGAATGTACTATTTTGTGGATAGATTTCTGATAAGATTTTCAACCAATCCCGACGTGCCATGTGTTACTTCCTGTTTGCAATAATTTAGCCAAGATTTCGATAAGATTTTCAATCAATCACATAGTGCAACGTGGCATTGTCCAGAACCTCATCTTTTTTTTTTGTCCATATAAATCGTACATCTCTACATCCATCCTCACACCAACTCAATCATTCTTTTTAGCTTAGAATCCTTCTTCATCATTTTCTAATCTTAAGTTTTTTTTACAATGTCTTCTTCAAGGAGAGTGCATAAACAATTTGTGGAGCAACAAAAAAGATTGTTCGCACAACAGGAAAAATTGATCAATCTCGAGGAAGGTGGAGGTGGAGATGAGGCTTTCACAATGGAGGAGGACTCGGATGATGACCATAGAAGGCAGAGGGCCTCACATTCCCGCCGTGTCATGGAAGTTGTGGGTCAGATAGCCAAACCCAGACATGCCGCAAACTTCAATAGAAAAAGGGAACTGCGAGGTAAAGATCTCTTGGAAGATTATTTTATTCCCAACAGTGTATTCCCTGATCATGTTTTTAGACGTCGTTTTAGAATGCAACGAAGTTTGTTCAACAAAATCATGAGTGCTATTTGCAACCATGATCCATATTTTGTGCAAAAAGAGGACGCTTTTCGTGTTCTAGGTATTTTTCCAGAGCAAAAAATTACGGCTGCCTTGCGAATGCTTGTATATGGAGCATCTGCAGATCAAGCGGATGAGACCGCGAGGATGGGAAAAACAATTGTTTTGGAGTCCCTGATGCGGTTTTGCTCTACAATTGAAGCCATGTACACCAATGAGTACCTCTGGACACCCACGCCAATAGACATACGAAGGCTTCTGAGGAAAGGTGAGATGCGAGGTTTCCCTAGCATGATTGGAAGCATTGACTGCATGCACTGGACTTGGAAAAACTGTCCAAGTGTGGCAAGAAGCTTATGGCGATAGAAAATGAGCCAAAAGTATCATTTTAGAAGCGGTGGCTTCATTTGATACATGAATTTGACATGATTTTTTTGGTGTTCCAGGAGCTCAGAATGACCTAAATGTCCTTGCTCAATCTTCAGTGTTCGACAATCTGCTGCAAGGAAAATCGTCGAGATGCACATATTGGGTTAATGACACTAAATACGACGGACCATACTACCTTGCAGACGGCATTTACTTAAGGTGGTCTACGTTTGTCAAAACAGTGCCACATCCATAGACTGAAAAAGAAAAACACTTTGCAAAATGTCAAGAGGGGTGTATGAAGGATGTGGAGTGTTGTTTTGGTATCCTGCAAGCTCGTTAGGCGATTATCAGGTTTGCTACTAGACTGTTTGATGTTAAGGCTCTTCGATCCATCATGATGACGTGTATTATTCTCCACAACATGATTGTGGAAGATGAGTATGATTATGATGTCGTCGATGAATATGAGCTAGATCTGATGAACAACTTAAGAACACGTATCTACTGTGCCCATGACCGGACCAAAGATCCCGTGCAACATGAGCTGTTAGAACGAGATGAACATTACAATGAATTGATCGTTCAACAATACATTGATGTGCAAGAGCCATACTGGCACGTAACCCGCCAGAATGACTTGATTGAGCACAAATGGGGATTACAAGAAGGTGAAGATAATTAAAATGAGCTTGTGGTTGAAGAATGAAGTGTATTTTTTTTTTTTGAGTTTATGTAATTTTATTTGGTGTGTTTTTTTTTTTTTTAAAGTTTATTTGGTGAGGTTATGTGATCTTATTTGATGTGTTTAAATAAAGTACAATTTTTTTTTTTGAAATTGCATAAAGTTCTAAAAATAAATAAGAAATTACATAAAGTACTAATAATAAATAAGAAATTACATCTATAAATAAAAATAAATAAGAAATTACATAAAGTACTAATAATAAATAAGAAATTACACAAGAAATTAAATAAAGTACTACAAATAAATACGAAATTATACAAAGTCTTTGGAGCTAGGATATGTGGTGTTACGATCTTCATTGCTAGGATTTGTGTAGCTATAACCCCCTCGACTTGTTTCCGCATCTCTTTCACGCCTCCTTCGCACGACGTCTCTTTTTTCTGATGTCCAAAAATGTTTTGAATTCGGAGATAGTCCTACTAAAGACTTGTTCATAATGTCACGATCTGCTTGATCTATCATTTCTTCTCTAAGCTCTCATTTTCTCGATTAAGTGCTTCTCTAATCATCTCGTTCTCTCAATTAACTATTTCTCTTTGTCTTTCAGCCGCTGCATCACGTCTCATAGTAGTTGCTAATATTTCTGCCATAGCAGCAGCTTTTTCCTCATCTCTAGCCTCTTCCCGTGCCATGTTTAGTTCACCTTGGCAAGCAAGTTCCTCCATATATTTAGTGTAGTCATTTTTGGAACAACTACCTTTTTTCTTTGATGCCTTTTTACCTTGAGGCCTGAGGGGCTGACGAGTCGGTTGGGTCTCCATCACTTATTCAGGCATCCCTTCTGTGTCTTCAAATGTGTCGTCTTCTTGTTCAACCGTGTCTAGTTCTGGCGAACTGTATAGACTCATGCCGTGCATGACAACTTCTGGACCGGTTGACACAATTTTGTATCTGGGGCAATCTTTGACAATTTGCCAACATTCTCATTTGTTGAATGATTTGTTGTGGTTCTTCACATTGTAGAAAGCTTGTGCTTGTAGTGTCTATAAATGTGGGATAAGACAATATTATAAAAAATGTGAGTGTAACACAAATAAATAAATTAAAATATTGATAAGGGTGGAATACATATAAATAAATAAAAATATTATCACCTGATCCGCTAAACTTGTCCCACTACATAGATTATCGGAAACATGAGAGATGACGTTTTTCCAACAAGTAAAGGATGTGTTAAGCTTTTTCCAACGACCTTGAAGACCTTGACTACTTCTGGCGTCTTTTCCATGTACATCGCAAAACGATTTTGTAATTTTACTCCATATTTCTTGCTTATCCATCTAATTACCCGTAATTGGGTCATGAGTTGTGTGAACCCAACATTCACACAATGTAACATCTTCAATGAGCTTCCACGTAGACATTTTTTTCTCTCTAAGTGTAGAAAATATTGAAATGTAGAAAGTGTAGAAAGTTTAGAAAATATTGAAATGTGGTGTAAGGTGGAAGATGAGGGATAGGTATTTATAGAAAAAAAAATTTAAAATTTTCTTTATTTTTTAATAATTTTTCTGTATTTTTTCATAATTTTTAATAAATTTTAATGTAGTTAATTAATCTGGACCGTTGGATTTGAAAAATATTCAAATCCAAGAGCCAAGGAGCTGCCACGTGGCCAACGGTCATAATTCTGACCGTTGGGCTTTTTTATTTTTATTTTTGGGGAAAAAATATGGACTGTTGATCTGTGATCAGACGGTCCATTTTAAAGTAAAATTTAATTTTTTTTTACCTTTGAAAATCCAACGGTCTAGAAAAACTAGCTGTTGGAAATCCAACGACACTGAGAGGGCTACGTCACCTACTTCAGGGTGAAGAACAAGTGGGCTGATAGTGGGCCTTGCCGCCTGCACCCATGTCCCCTACTCGCGCCCACTCGCGAGTGAACTGCACGCGCTAGCCAAATAGGCCGGTCTCTAGGTTTGTCAAAAATGGGCTGGTCTGTTGCCCAGCTTGAGCTGGGTGCCAGGCAAGTTTGTGGGCTGGAGTGAATGGACTGACCCCTAGCTTTGTTTTTTGACTGGGTGCTGGCACATTTGCACCCCGGTGGAAGTGCTCTTAATTTCTTCATGTTAAACCAAGTCTATGAAAGAAGGAAACAATTTGCTCCAAAATTGCTCATAACTCATAAGAGTTGTGACCAGATTTGTAACATCACTTCTCTGTTTCAAGTTGTAAACTTAATTTTCCGATGTGGGATTTCATATTTTGAACATAAATTGCATTTCTCAACTCATATCCCAAACTCTTCTTTTGGTTGGCCAAATAAAATCTTAAAAGGACCAAATAAGAAAAACTTTGAGATCTTCATAAAATGAGATAATTATGTGAGCTCAATCCTTCCTGCATGACATGCAGTTGTTGCTTATAGCTAATAAGTTCACAACTTTTTCACCCTGCTACATGACACATCGGGCACGATATTTACCCGTCTCTTCAACAGTGTCTTCTAGCTCGATTGGCTTGAATTTGTTTAAGCACGCCCAGATTGATCGTCAATATAAGCATGCCGAATCCAAGATATGGTGGGATTTGAGAATTTAATGACAAAGGGAGAGGTAGAGCATGCTGAATTAAGAAAGACATGCGAGCGAATTGAGAGAAGTATATAAAAGTAGAGGGTTCAAACCATAGGATGCAGGTAAACCAAGGTCGCCCTGAAAATATAGCAAGAACAAGAACAAAGTATGGATCTATCCAAGCTAAAAACGATGCTGAAACAAAAGCCGGTACTCGCCTCCCTGGCAGCGATCGTAGTTCTTGTGGCCATAATTTTTTTTATAATGCTGATCCTAGGGCTTACGAATTACAAGCCAAAGGACCCCATAACCCTAGTGGATGCACTGGTCTTAAGAAACCTAGAAGTTTGTCACCATGCGCCTAAACTCATCACCATGGTAATGTCTTTCTCTATCAAGAACGGCAACAAGGTGGCCTTCAAGCCCTCCAAGGGCACTGCAATCTTGTTCTACAAGGGCGTGAACGTCGGTGAGGCTGATATAGAGGTAGGAAAGGTAGCGCCGGGAGCCACCATAAGCACGAATGTTACGCTCACCGCTTTGGCTGATCGTTTGATGGGCAACCCCGCGGTTAGTTATGATATGTTGGCGGGTAGCATGCCTTTCAACACTTTCACCGAAGTCCCCGGCAAAGTGAAGATCTTTGGAATGGCTAAGGTTGCTGTGACCTCCACCAACTTGTGCGGTTTTGACATCGATATCCGTAGCAAGACTGTTGGGGACTATAGCTGCACATAGACACACAAAAGTTACAATCGCTTCTGTAGTTCTCGTGTCAAGACATGTTTTTATTAGTGTTCCAATTTATTCTTTTTCTTCAAATTTGATCTAGAAATAATCGTAGTATTGAGTTGTCGTACTTCACATAAAATAAGATTATAAGATCATTTTCTCTTATAGTAGTCTCTGTATTGTTACATTGAACACAACTTTTACGTTTCCCTTTGATTTCACCTTGAACTTTTTAAGCATATGCAACCATCCTATATTTTGGGAAGGAGCAGTTTAAACAGAAGAGTAAATTGCAGCTATAATCTCTTAACTTTAACTCAATTGGAGCAATGGTCCTTCAACTAAAATTTCATTACCATTGGTCCCTCAACTCATTAAAACGTGCAACTATGGTCCCTCAACTAAAAATCCATTACCACTGGTCCCTCAACTTTAATTCAACTGGAGAAATTGTCCCTTAACTTTAACCCAATTGTAGCAATGATCCTCCCAACATAACTCGTTTTGATAAATTTTTTGACGTGGTTGACGAAAATGACCATAATTACACACGTTGATGAGCTGAGAGACCCTAATTATATAAATGGTTATTCCAACATAACTTATTTTGACAAAATTGATGAAAAAGACTATAGCTACACATTTTGATAAATTGAGAGACCAATGGTAATAGATTTTTAGTTGATGGATCATTGCTCCAATTTGATTAAAATTGAGGGACCATTGCTACAATTTACTCTAAATAGAATGTCAAGGTGATAAGCACCACTATTATGATCAACTGGCCTAGCTTACGTATATGTAACAACAATGCGATTTAAGCATGCTGCTGAGTTCAAGCTACAGTTAGAGTTGAATGATTTAATAACAAATTAGGGATGAAGGGCATGCAGAAGTTTAGGAAGACATGCAACGCAAAAGAGAGAAATTAAGCATTTAAGTTAATATGTCTTCTCATGAAGAGGGCCCGAAAAACAGATGTTCATAGTATGCAAGAAGTGATTGGAAAACAAAATTGTCCGACTCATAAACATAGCCCTGGCAGTGGCCTCCATTCTTGTTGTAATATCTGCTACAGTACTGATCTTATTCATGACGGTGTACATGGAAACAGCCCCCCTAACAATGGTGGATTCCGTGGCCTTAAGACATCTAGGTTAGTCTCAAAGTGAATCTATCCGTCCTGAACCATAACAATGTGGCCTTCAAGTACGCCAACAGCATGGCATTGTTGCCGTACAAGAGCGTGGTGGTGGGAAAGGCTCTTATAGATGCAGGAGTGGTACAAAGAGGGTGCGAACAAATTCATTAATTTAACTTTCACTATTAATTTGGCTGATCGTTTGCAGGGAAAATCCAAGCGAACTATAGTTCGTTCGGATATGTGTTGGCTGGTACCTTGCCGTTCAACATGTACATCAAAATCTCTGGCAGGTTAAACTCTTTGCTCAAATTGTTCAAATATTCATGTGGACGTGGTCTCTACCAGCTCCTGCAACGTCTGTATCAAAACTGTTCGAAAGAAGCACTGCACAAAGAAAACAAAATTCTAGTTTTATATGATTTGTTTACTCGTGCCGCTTACCTAAATCTATAATCTTCGAGTTTCTTAAGATTCTGAATATATTTTGTGACATTGGTATTGCTTATTTGCTGCGTTATACAAGTTACAAGGAAAAACATAATTCCATCACATAAGACTAAACAAAAGGTGGAAGTATCGCATTCTAACCAACACCGCAAGCAACAGCAAACTTGTGTCATGCGCCATTTTTCACTCCAACAAAATTCATTAGATTGGTTCGATTTTGTTTTTTTTGTTTTCTTCTTCTTCATATCCTAGAAACCAAATGATCAATTTTATTTTGCTGTGAATTGTGGTAGGTCTAATGCACGTCAGATAGCAGAGTAGATCGATAATCAAATTGAAAAACGCAAATTGGTTAGCAAAGTTTTAAGCTTTGCAAAATTTAGACTCTGGTGTCCAATTTGGTTCCATGACTTCTTGTTTTGAAGACAACGGATAAGACTCGATGCTTTTTCCTAACATTAGACTTTTTTGGCTGAATTATATTGTTTACACAAACAATATTTTAATTTTTTAAAAGCTTTTCTTCTAAAATCAATAAATAAATAACTTTGAGAATAGTGCATTTATCGTTAATAAACAATTTTGAAATCTTCCAAAATTTAATTTCTAGTGAATTCTAATTTTATATGCTTGAAGATGATTTATTCTCTTCTCTTTGCCACGATGAGTTAAAATCATCTATATTGTAAAGTCTGACTACGAATCGTGGTACAATAATCGATCTGATATCAATTGTTAAGGTTCGAACAACACAATTAGTCCTACAAAACCACCTTGTTGAAGAATAGTGCATAAAAACTTTAAAACCATTAATGGTTAGGATAGTGCTATTTTCGAGCATGATATATGGAAGTCTAAATTGCTTAGGTGGATTTTGCTGCAAAATGCACTCCCTGCCCTAAAAGTCCTCATTGCTTACGTGAACTCTGTACATATTATGCAATGTGAATCAATGCATGACATGCACTAGTCGTTTTTCATATCAAATAAGATCGTGTGAACCCTGAAGTTTTCCCTCTCTTTGCATCGACCACAATCTTTACCCTTGTCTTTAATCTCGCCTTAAATTTGTTTAAGATATGCTGTTGCTATAACAATTGACGGTTAGATTTCAGTAATTTAATAACAAATTAAGAGGATTGCATGCACAAATTAAGGAAAACATGAGAGAAATTAAAGTAAAATACTAAAGTTCCATCAAAAGAGGTTTTGATAAAACTGCAAAATTGAAAATTTGGTCTGTTTATCTGATATCGGTTAGCTGGTTATGCATGTTGGTCAAGACAGAGCATTGTATTTTTTATTTTTTTTTAGTACATTGATACTTTTACACTAGGGGTAGGGGGAGTTTGGCTAAACCATACAATGGGCAACCTAATTTGATATCGAATTCACTATCCACGAGATTCGAACCTAAGATCTCTCACTTCCAAGTGAAGAAGAATATTATTTTCACTTAGATTTTAAATCTCCCTCTCTGTAACTGTTGGTCAAGATATAGGTGTGTTCGAATCCCTACAAGTGAAACAGAGGTGGTGTGGGGAGCAACTAAAAGACGGTGACCCGAATAAAGCTCAAGTTAGTTGTTCGATACAGTTCAAAATTGCGTTAGTTGGCCGTTCGATTTGAGCATTGAATCAAAAGTCCCAATCCCCAACCACCTTAAATACTCTTCTCTCTATAAGTCACTCTCCTTCTCTCACCCTCTCCTTAAAAAAATTCACACCATGCCAGAAAATAGCAACCACAACCAACCCAACAAGCGAAAACGTTCATTTCTTATTGCCATTAGTGTTATCCTATTCTTGATCTTCCTACTCTTCATCATCGCCCTGATTCTTGCCCTAACCGTTTTTAAGCCCAAACAGCCAAAAACCGAAATCCTCTCCGCCTTCGTGGATGGCGTGGCTCCTCGCATCACCTTTCCAGCAGTCCGGGTCGAACTCAACATTACCCTCAACATCACGATCAACGTCGAGAATCAAAACCACGCAAGCTTCAGGCATGGTGAGGGAAAGACTTTGCTTCTTTACCAAGGCACACAGGTTGGGAATGCAAACTTGTACCCGGGTAACATTCCGGCGAGGGGCAACGCCACGCTGCCCTGCCGGCTTACTTTACAGGTGGACAAGCTGGCTAACGACATGAGCAAATTGATCAGTGATGTGGTGGGGGGTGAGATTATGGTCGAAACGAAAACGAGGATTCCAGGTAGGGTTACGTTCTTGGGGTTCATCAAGAAGCACGCTGTAGCGATTTCAGAATGCCAACTGACGATTGGGTTTCCGGACATGAAGGTGAAGAGGCAAGATTGCAAGAGCAAGGCCAAGTTGTGAGTTGTGCGAGTTATTATTGCTTCTCAATGATTCCTGAGAAGGTGCAGATTGTAGCAAAAACACGGAGAGAATAGCATGTAAATTAGTAGGGTTTTAATCAGAGGGAGTTAATTAGGATGAATTTTAGGCTACAAATTTTACAAATTTTTTTCTCTTAATCATAGAATTTGATGTACGAAAACAGAATAAAAATATATGGAAATTCGTTTAGATTTTGGTTATATTATATTTGATGTGCCAACGTTCTGATTAGTGACTTCACGGGCACAAATTGGTTTGCTGCAAACACAATCTGCTGTGCTGGAAAGCATAATACGACATAAGATCCATAAGCAGGCACAAGCCTTTCTAGTTTCTAAAGCTTACCCACCAGCCTGAACATACAACACTCGTGCGAACTTTCTGTCCATGACCTCAAAAGCTTATAAAACAGAAGGGGAATCGGGATGCCAAAGTAGTGACGGTATTCCAAGTGTGTCACACGTTGCCATGTGCTTTCATGTGGCCACATGGTACTGTATGATTGGTTTGGTATATCGTCACCTTTACGTTTCTGTTGTAATTTATTTCTCCTACTTTCAATGCTCCATCTACATTGGATTTTGAGGTGAATATATGAATTAACAGAAATAAGATTTCCTCAGTATGTAAACAGAAAAGAAACATAAACTCAGATCTATTTCATTTGAAAGAACAGGTGTGTGTTCTTCTTGGGTGCGTTTGGTACGCGGACGGGACGGAACGGAACGGGACGGGACGGGACGGGACGGGACGGAACGGGACGGAACGAAGGTGTAATTTTTGAAAAAGACATGGGGTATATTTGTCTTAAAATGGTAAAACATTGTATTCCACAGACGTGGAACAAACCCGTTCCAGGGGGGAGAGGTGGAACGCAAAAACACCCAAAATCTGTCCCGTGGAACAACCCGTTCCACCCATTTTTAGCGCACCAAACGCGGGACGGAACGCCTCGTTCCGTTCCGTCCCGTCCCGTCCCACGTACCAAACGCACCCCTTAGGAACAACACCACCCAAATATTCATGTGAAAACAATGTCTCATAGAGGTTTGTTTCTATTCAAATAGAAGTCAAAAGCTACAAACAAAAACCATAATTTTAGTCACAGGACATTAAACATGATTTCTTAAAGTTATCATCCAGCAACATTTAAAGTGTAAAATACACAGTCGAACATTCCCAATCATCAAAATATAACTCCAAATCCTAAAGCGCAGAGATTTCAAGCATATGGAATTTGATAAGAAAACCATTGAACATGAATAAGTTCAGTACATGATCAATGAGGTTGGAAGAATTTTCTGTTTCATTTCTTCCCAGTGTCTAAAATTCTGACTTAAACCAAAAGAGCACTAGTCGATGCTAACTTAATATCAAAACGACGTCTTTCACTGTGTCTAAACGCATAAATAATGTCAACAACTACTATACAATGCTAGCACTACTGTGTATAATCTAGGTAAGCTGTTGGAATTTGGAAAGAAGTACCAGAATTCTTGCAAATTCACCGCCACGTAACCTGCATGAGTCAATTGGAGTTAGAACTCGAGCTTTCTGATTAACCGCATATCGATGTTCCTAGACTTCCCTGATGGCCTCAGGGGTGCCCCAGGACAAGTTTCAGCTGCTCCAGTTTGACGCGGTTCTGGACGAGGTGTTACGCAGTCATCAGAAACGCAATCTTTCCTCGAGCGTTCAGCAATAGCTCCCTCAGTTTGCTCTGACACGATAGCTTCCAATAGGTTTTTATACACAGCTTCAAACATTTCTTCATCCGAAATGGATTCCACATAAGTCAAAACCTCGTCTTCTGAAATTTGGACGGGAGAATCAAAGTTAAGCTGACGAGCAACCATGCCCCTGCACTTGCTGACATATTTTTTGCACTGTGGCGCCTTAGCCAGGTCTTCCCGACCAGGGGCAAAAGGATCGAAGACATCATCCACCGGTGTCCTGGGGCTGCTATCATCAGAACAACCAAATGGGTCGTCCCCATTTCGGATAGCATTCGGATTCAAGCAAGTTACATTGGATGATTTCTTGCAAACAGAGGGCGGAGATTTCAAACCAACAGGTAAGTCCCCGTTCTCTCGGACTGCATTAGGAGTAACAGGCTCTAGAGAAGCCACCCCATTAGCAACCAATTCAACCGGTGGCTCTGCAGCGTCCTTATGAAGCCCCAAAACACTAGCTTTATCCGATTTTTCCAAAGTTTTTGGAGGTTGCAGTTTGCATTCCTCCAGTCCATTGGTACAACCTCCAGAACCCATTAATCCAAACAAAGGGTAGCAGCTGAAATGGTAAATTAATTATTAAAATTAGAATTTGGCAGCAAAATTCAGATAAAACCCATGTCAGAGAATCGAACTTTACATTAAAAAACTGGTGAAAAAATAACAGAAATCGATAAATTAATGGGTTGCAGAGAAGTTATTAAAGAAATTAAATCTAAAAAGATAAACCATATGCTCTGAACATGATACACAATAACAATTATCTAACATGAAAATTAAAGATTAGAACTTTGAATTAAATTCCTAATGAAAACTCAAGATTTCAATCTTCCCAGCCAAAAAGTAACCGGGCAACCCTGATTTCAAGAAACTAATAAAAAAATAAATAAAAAACCCAGAACAGCAGCCAAGCAAGACTCATCGAGTTTCCAGTTCAGAACAAAAACGAGTACAAGTACAGAGAGAAAGTTGGAGTAACCTGAGAGAGAGGAGAGAGAGAGAGAGCAGAGAGTTGGAGAACAGCAGAAGCAGTTGGAGCAGCCGCAAGCAGAAGAGAGTGGTTTGTGAAATGTGAACTGAGTCGGTGTGTCTTTTTTGTTTCGAGTTGGGGGGTTTGGTTCTTCCAGTTAGATCTGAGTGGCTCGACTCGTTCTTGAAACTTACACAGGAGTCCGTACCCACTTTCCTCGCAACTCACTCCCCCCCCCACCTTATTTTTGGCGGTTTGCAAAACTCACTCCTTGAACATTCCTTATTTGCCTAATAATAAAATTAGAAAATTGTAACAATGGTTTTTAAATATTAATCTAATTAGAGAAATAATTTCTCAACTAAAAATTCATAATCATTGATCTCTTAACTCATCAAAACGTGCAGCTAAATGAGTTATGTTAGAATGACTATTACTAAAGTTGGGTTAAAGTTGAAGGATCATTGCTCTAGTTGAGTTAAAATTGAGGGACCATTTCTCTAATTGAGTTAAAGTCTAGGGACCCTTACTACAATTTTCTCATTGATTTTTCATATTTACCCCTCAATTTAGCTTCATGTGCATAAATGTGACTTATTTTGACAGAAGTTTTAACGGAGTTGATGAAAATGATCATAATTGCACCTTTTAAGGAGTTAAGGGACTAATAGTCATGAATTTTTAGTTGAGAGACCATTACTCTTGTTAGATTAAAGTTGAAGGACCATTGCTACAATTTCCTTTAATAAAAGTGACATTAAATCCTCCTAAAAAAATTAAACAAAAAACTCAATACATGCCAAACCTCCCTTGGATCTCATTTTATTCATGTTCTTTTGTTATTATTTTTTCTTTTGACGGAAGTTCTAACGGAGTTGATGAAAATAATCATAACTGCACATTTTAAGAAATTAAGGGACCAATGGTTATGAATTTTTAGTTGAAAGACCATTACTCTAATTGGGTTAAAATTAAGGGTCCATTGCTACAATTTCTTCTAATAAAATTGACATTAAATCCTCCTTAAAAAATAAATAAAATTTAAAACAACTCAATACATGCCAAACCTCCCTTGGATACCATTTTATCCATGTTCTTTTGTCACTATTTTTTCTTTGTCAGAGTTTGATTTACATAGGATTTTGAATTTTCATGTCAGAGTTGTTTTTATGTAATTATTTTTTATTAAAATTTTGTTTATTTGAGACAATGTTATGATACGATCGTCATGTAAAAACGTAAAACTTTATTAAGTAGCGGATAATAATAATTTATGATACTATAATTCACGCCATTTATCATCAATCTCTTATGAATTTGACAATAAGTTTGAATATTAAAACCCATTTTGGAAAGAAACTAATGTCTTGGAAAATGTATTTTGGTGGGAAGCATATAAGGAAAATATATTTTGGAGGGGAAAATATGGTGGGAAATTAGTTTTGGAGGGAAAAATATGGCACGAAATTTTACATGATAATAAAAATTGGCGCCAATGAATACATGGTAATAAAATTAGAGAGCTAATAGACCCACTTTATAGTCTTCATTGTTCTATTTCTCCACCCACATTATAATCTCATCCACCATAAAAAGTTAAAAAATTAAAATGCTCTTTCCTCAACCACTTTTATTCCTAAAATTTCCTCATTAGCACTCTCACTCTACTCCGAGCTTGTCTTTAAAATTATTGTATCAATAAAGAATAATTTTAGAGAGCTTAGTGACAAACCTTGTGTAACATCCCACATCGTCCAGGGGAGTAGATCTTTCAAGCCTTATATATATATTCTCATATTTACCTAACACGAGGCCTTTTGAAAGCTCACTGGCTTCGGTTTCCATCGGAATTCCGAAGTTAAGCGAGTTTGCACGAGAGCAATCATAGGATGGGTGACCCACTGGGAAGTTCTCGTGAGTTCCCAGAAACAAAACCGTGAGAGAGTGGTTGGGGCCTAAAGCGGATAATATCGTGCTACGGCAGAGTCAAGCCCGGGATGTGGTAGGGGCTCGGGTCGAGATGTGACAATTTGGTATCAGAGCCAATCTCTGATAGAAAATGTGCCGACGAAGATGTCGGCCCCTTAAGGGGGTGGATTGTAACATCCTACATCGCCCATGGAAGTGGATCTTTTAAGCCTTATATGTATATTCCCATCTCTACCTAGCACAAGGCCTTTTGGGAGCTAATTGGCTTTAGGTTCCATCAGAACTCTGAAGTTAAGTGAGTTCGCGCGAGAGCAATCCTAGGATGGGTGACCCACTGAGAAGTTCTCGTGTGAGTCCTCAGAAACAAAACCTTGAGGGCGTGGTCGGGGCCCAAAACGGATAATATCGTGCTACAGCGGAGTCGAACTCGGAATGTGATAAGGGCCTGGGCCAGGATGTGACACCTTGTACCATTTTTTTTCTACTAATCAAACTCGATACCCTTTATAGAATACCCTTCCTCAGTTCTTCTTCCACACTTGTGTAAATATTAGCATCTATACATATGCAACAAGTTCAAATTACATACCAATCCATGCTGATATCCATTGTTGAAACATCTAACCAAAACAAAAACATTAAATTTGAACTAGAGAGTGGCCGGAGAAAGCAGATAAGAAGCAAACTCTGGTTGCCTGGTTTTTGGGTTCATCTTCGTCTTCAAGATTTTTATGAGAATTAATTTGCAGAAAATATAGAAAATAGTGTGGATTCAGAATGATTTCAATTTGAGTAGCAGTGGAATTTTATTGGGTGAGGGTTTAAGGATAGATAAATAGTACGTGAACAGAGAGATATCTTTTAATGTATTTATCGGTCATTTTACAAATGAGCAAACTTGTAATTAAAAATTTAATTGAAAAGTGGGTGGGGAGATAAGACACTAGAGTGGGAATAACACAACTCTAAAATTATTGTATGAATAAAAACTTTGGCGCAACAAAATACACAGTAATATAAAAGTTTTTAGAAAGTTAATTAGGAAAAAAGATAAACTTTACCATATAAGAGCGCTCTTTCCTTTATTTGATTTTCCTTCAAACTTATCTTGTGAAGTAAGTAAGGAAATGTAAATTAGTTGTTGCTCACTTGTTACCTCACCAATTCAATATATATGTATTTGGAAATACTGATAAATAAAAAAATGTATTTGGAAATAGATTGGCAGTGGCACCACACAATGTACACATGTAAAAGATGGGAGATTAATAACTACCACATGTATGACCGAAAAAAGAAAAAAGAAAGAAAAAAAAAAAACTACCACAAGTAGCTCAGTGATTGATTACGAATTATATACTCGTATTTCATATGATACATATTTAACTCGATTCTCAGCATTGATGAAACATACGATGATAACATAATGTTGAAATTTTTCTATAAGTCTTCTCAATTCCTGAAAGAATATACTACCAAATGTGCGAGAAATAATTAAAAAAATGTCTGAATATAACTATAAAAAGACTAGTCAACTATGATACGCGCCTAAAATAAATACCCTGAGCGTGTGCGGTATAGGCAGGGGTACGGGTCAAATCGAGTTGTCCCGATTGGGCCAAGACATGCAGTTTAGACCATATCTTGCATCAATGTGCGCCACGTGGCCCAATTATTCAACTAGATTCCTTGCCGACTATATTGACCGACATTTTTATTTGTTGGGTTGTTCTCTAAGAGCAAGTCAACCCCTAAAGACTTTGTGCCAGCATCCAGCGTATTTATCCACTCAAGTAAACAGTAATAGACTCTAGTGAACAATAATAGGCCAAAGCATCTCCATCCTTAAACAAAAAATAGGCTGGTCAATTTATTAAAATATTATTATTTTTTATTATAAAATAATAATTTTATTTTTACGTTTTGACTTCTTCTTCCCTTCATCTCCTGCAACTTCCCATCCCTTCCACACAAAAAAAACCCGACCCTCAGAATCACTGCTCCAACCCCAAAACTCCAATCCCAGAATCCACTTTCCCAGAAAAGCTCAAAAGTTCCAATCTTAGGTGGTTGAATTGCGGGAGGCAGTCAGATTTGGAGGAAATGCACATGCAGATTTGAAGGAGCTCACGGGACGGGAAGCGGGAAGCGGGCAGAAGTCGCTCGCGGTGGTGAAGTAGCCGCCGCCGGTGGACAAGAGGGGGGTTTTGAGAGTGAGGCGAGCTTCGCGATGTTGATGGCTCCGTGGCTCCTTGCCCTCCGACACCACGCTGGTGTCAACTAGGCGTCACTTGAGCCGGTCCCAAGGTCTGTCGATTTTAGGCCGGCCTGTGGACTGGCTTGGGCTGGGTGCCAGTCGATTCCACGAGCTGGAGTGGATTGGCTGAGTCTCAGCCTGTTTTTTCCACTGGGTGCCGGCCTATCCCACCCCGGGTGGACTTGCTCTAAGATCAATTTTTTACAATTCAAAGAAATTTAAAATTATTTAGTCTTTTATGGTTATTCAGTAAAATAAAACAGACAAATCATGTTAACAATTTTAGTTCAACAGTTAAACGTTTTTTATTTGCTTATTTTTTAAAGAATAAATTAGAAAGTAAACAATTTAGATCATTGTGCAACATAAGGAAGAGTAATATTACACTTAACGTATTTTTATATCATGTTATACCATATGCCTAATAGAGATAGGGTTCACCAATCCATGTTGGTCTACTTATAATTAGACAAATTGGATAATACTAAAGAGATCAACCAAATTTGCAAAACAAAAAATGTATCATTAATAGAAAATAAACACGTTAATCAATATTAAAATAATAATCTTATTATTAACAATCATATCATTTAATTTAAAAATTTTAATCCCTTTACCCACACGGAAAAAGTCCAATCTCAGGTCATTTTCTAATCTCTCTTTTTTCTTTTTACTTTTAAATTTTATTGGTTGTCGACCACGGACTTTTCTTGTCTTGGGTCAACGACGACCGACTTGTAGCTGGAAAATTTGTTACGCAGTTGCTTGTTCTACCATGTAAAAGCAATGGCAAACATCTGGAAGTTGTACCCAGAAATAGTCACTGGCAACCGAAAATGCATCATGTAATAGTACAAAAGTCTAAACAAACACATAAATTAATGACTCGTTTGTATGTGTTTTTAAAATAATTAAAAGAGCTTTTAAATAAAATATTTTTTGATTTCAAAAGCACTAGTTATGTGCTTCTTTCAAGAAGCACTTTAAATGCTTTTCAAAATTTATTTGCATTTTTACTAAGGATTGATTTCAAAAAC